TTGGATGGATCCTCTGAGGTCCTCCCGATAATATCTGTTGGGTTTCACAGACCCTTTAGAACGGCTCTCAAAGGCCAAACAGACACTTTGTATCGTCTCTGAAAGGCCACACAGCCCTTCTAAAACGATCCTGAAGGAACGCACACCTCTCAGGGAAATATCTTAGTAAGCCCCACACACCTACTAAAGGAGCCTGGTGGACCCATCAGACATTTCAGGATATCCTAAAACGCATCTCAGGCCCTCACAGGAAATCCCCGTGGACCTCACAGACATTTTAGAGCGCAGCTCTTGGGCGGCCGTTTCCGGCTTGAGCGGCGTCGCCATCGGTGTCGGCGTCGCCGTCGGCGTAACCGCTTGGTGCTTTATGGGAAACGTTCCATAATGCAACCCGCGGTTCTCATTCGTGACCCGCGCGTTGCATTATGGGACGTTTCCCATAATGACGTCACACGTGACATCACGAGGGCCCCAATTGACGTCAGGAGGGTCTCGCGCGTTGCATTATGGAAAACGTCCCATGATGCAACGCGCGGGTCACTCATGAACCGCGCGTTGCATCATGGGACGTTTCTCATAAAGACGTAGCGCGTCAAGTCACAGTCACTCGTGGAGGTTACGACGAAGGTATGCCTCCTCCTCCGTGCCCTCCCCTCCTCCTCCTCAAGAGCTGCGCTCTAATTCGGCGTTACAGGGAATTGTAAACGTCTTTAATTTGTTTCAATAGGTGTTTACATAGTTTTTAATAAAAATCAGCGTCTTTGTTTCCTTAATTTTCAGTTTGGTTTTTGTTTACACGCGATTACGTTTTTTTTTTTCGTTCCGGACAAAAATTTGAACGTGACTTTTTTCTATAGAACAAAAGTGAAACCAGAACAAACAAATAGTTTGTGTCGACACCCCGGTCTGTAGTGGTCGTTGAGGGCTCGGCGGATGTTCATGTTGTCTGCCAGCCGATTGTGAGCAGGAAGTTCGTCACGCAGTACCAGTCACTTTTCAAGAGATTGGCCTTTTCTGGCCAGAGGTAAAGGAGTTGAATGTCTGCAGAAGTCGGAGAGATGCGAGAGTAAGAGTTAAATTTTCCATTTGGACTTGAGAGGTCCACTTTGCGTCGATAATGTCCTAATGCCAAACATTGTAAAAATTTTTAGATGTGCATAGGCCATAAAACTAATTTCTTCCAAATATAAATTCGATAACATAATCATCTGCAATTTCTTCCATTTGTCCCTGGTTTCCGCTTCAGACACCACGAAAAAATCAGGTATTTTGTTGCTCACAGTGTATTTGAAGAGCATGGTGAGTTTCCAGCTAAAAAATATTTGAAACGTCTATTTAAAATATCTATTGAATATTTAGAAACATATTGAGAAAAGCTACGTTGTACAATTAAATGTGATTTTAATGTTTGTCAAGTCGCTTTTGTTTTATCGGTTTGAGTGTGCATGTTTTGTGTTCACCTGTACGAATACGCATGCTTTTGTACACATGTGTACGAATTTACATGGTTTCGTACATGAATGTACAATGGTAAAGGCTTGATATTTTTCTGTCTGGTCAAGAAGCGACATAAACGAAAATTTAGGACTCGTCATAAACTTAATAAACAAAATTGCGACGTTCTGGCAACACAATAGACCTTGTCAACAGCACCGTGCTGGTCTCTAAAAAAATGGGGGAAACATATCTTCGGAAGTTTTGAATCATCCAACGCGTAAAAGGGAAATGAGAGTAATAATCCCTAGAAAAAGGGAACAAAGGACAAACACAAATTTTCAAGCACAGCGAAGTGACTAGCGCGCGACCGAAAAAATCTGCCTCGTCCTGGTATCCGAACCAGGGACCTCTCTATTTCAAGTGGAGCGCTCTGCCAAGTAAGCTAACCGGGGGTTTCACGTCAGTAGAACAAACGAGTTTTAACAGCTGCCACCAGTCTAACACAAACAAGGAGGAACGTCTTGCATTTTACGGTTAAGGCAATCAGTTCAAAGGCGCAAGCGAGCTGGACAAGAATGACAATTATAATCCCCTCAGAAGGAGAACAAAGGGGACAAAGGACAAACACAAATCTCTAAACACTCCTAATTGACTGGCGCGCGATTGAAAAATTCCGCCGCGTCCTGGTATTATAGTTCTCCAGGGATTATTATTGCCATTCTTGTCCAGCTCGCTTACAATTTCGCACTGATTGCATTGTAATCACAAAGAGAAATGAACCGCTCTTCCTGTATTTTCCCAGCAACTAGGCGCCGGGGCTGCGTGCCGTCTCCAATGCTCCATACATCTGTGTGTGTATATAAACGAGGCGGGCTCTTACCGGGTTTTAAGCGTAAACCAAAGCAGTCCTGACTAGTCAGGGTCTGTGGTTAGAGTTATTAATTGCAGTCAATGTGTCCACCAGAACAAGCAGTGATTTTCGCAATGATCCGCCATGAAGCATTAAAACTGTTTTGTAAAGTTGGAAAAATCTAACTTACGTGAGGTGTGGCCGCAAACGATGAAATAAAGCTTGCACGAAACGCTTCAGCGTCCAGGCACCAGAAGAAATATTTGCGAAAATTCAGCATTCAAAACATCCTCACACGATATTGGTGAGCTGAAAGAAGAGTGAGAGCGGAGGCAAATCGCAAACGCAACCAAACCCCGATACCAAGAGAACGTTGTACACTCACACAGAGAGGTACTTACACGTATAAACATCGTGTGTCAGTGATTTGTTTCTGTATCTTATATCCCCGATTGGGTGTTGGGCTTTAGTAATGGTTGCGCGTGACTTAATTTATTATTTGTTTACGCACCCTGGTGTCATAGAAGAAAAGAGGACCTCAATCTTTGCTCGAAGACACTTTTATTGAAGCAACAGCGATTAGCTGAGGACATTGTTGCGGTATCATCTGCTCAGTGGTCGAACGTGAAAACCAAATACAATTTAGGCGCTCTATATTATAATTTATCCGACGCAACTAAAACTGTCTTTTTCTTCTCTTATAAATGATACGCTCAAACAATCAAGCCCCTTTCGCAATTTGTCTTTTCATACATCAATAATTTTGTAATATAAAATAAAATGCCATTTTATATGACTTGGAAGTGTAATATTTATGAGGAAGAAACACATTCCGTGGATTTTTAAGGCGCGGGAAAATCTAAACATGTGTTACGGCAACATATCTGTTTCCTCCCATCCAGCCCAAACTCACGAAGCACAGAGGGAGCAGACGAAGGCACACAACGGCTCCCCCTACAGCAGTCATCGTCCTTTTTTCTGAAAAAAAAAAATATAATAAAAAAAAGAAGGGAAATCTGTTTTACGCCCCCGCCTCCCAAACCCACCCCCATTGTTTTTGGGTCAAGCGTCTATAGATAAGCTCCGCAAAAGGCTGGGATGTTTTCTTTATTTTTCGATGGGAGGAGGGACCCTTTTCGCGGCTAGCGCAGTCCGAACGGGTAAGAAGGTAGCTTTCGCAGTCCCCTCCTGGAGTTGTACAATATTCCTAATTTAGTTCTAATTCAGCTGCGATATCCTCTTAAGCTGCTACTAAAAGCTCCGCCTTCAGCACGAGCTCGGCGGCTTCCGCAGTTCTTTGGTTACGCTTGCCTGCGCGTTCAGAGCTGTGTTAGCAAGGGCTGAAAGCTCGCGCTGAAGGCGGAGCTTCTAGTCTCAGTTTAGGGGTGAGCGGAGCATCGACCAAACACCGGCATTGTTTTTGCCCAAAATTAAAGCAACATTGCTGCAGAACATCGTTGGATGCCTTGCAGACTGATTTCAGCCTAGCATTGCGTTTTACGATTTCGTAAAAAATTAAACTGTTTCAACCGTACAGATGTCGAGAATGTTTCTCTTCTGAAGCCAGTCTGCACCTTGTTTGAAGATTGGTCGTGATTGACAGAATATTCCATTTCATTCGTTAGATATAAAAATCGAACAAAGATTGGATCAACTTTGCAGATCTGCCCCAGACCTTAAGGCCACCCTCAGCGTGTCGGCTCAAAAAAAAAAAAAAAAAAAAAAAAGGAATGCTTCGTCACGGCGCGGTTCCGCCACTTGTGCATCGCGCTCAAACAACGTCATGTGCTGCTGAACTCCCCACATCACCAGATTTCGGCTCCCTCGCTAATGGCGCCACGTGCTTCTTTTTTTTTTCTTCAGGACCTTCTGTAATTACCGCAATGATTCTACAGTAATGTCACGGTTCTATTTCGGCTTTCTCATGCGTAAAAGTGTTTCCCACAAAAGATCATCAAATAAAAAAAGAACGATAATACCTCAGCTCTAGAATAAATACATCTGCTCAACATACTCACTAAAAAAAACAGGTTTTTAAGCAAACGTTTTTTTCTATATAGGTTAAACAGGTCATAAGTGAACTACACCCAATGTATATCTGTTCGCATTTGTAATGGTGTTCTACGAATGTACTGCGCACGTCCTGCAATATTTGAAACAATTATCATGATTGACGTGCCGCTCATTAAATGTAAAGAATGTGGCATGAAGATACTAAATACCATAATATGGCATTCGCTTACAGTATCCACGGACTGGAAAAACATTAACCCCATTATACACTGTGCCATTTGTCATCATTAGCGTCTTATTGAACAAAAGAGGCATATCCTTGACGCCGTTTATTTTTATGAACGTTTCACGTGAGTGAAACTTGAGTTGAAATAATGTGTATTTCTGTCGGCTTTTTTCTATCTACTCAGGTAGATATGAAAAAAATATATTCCCCTAATAATGTCACTATAATTTAAGATGGACGCACAATGCAAACACAAATCATTCGCATAGTTACTGGCTTTTTGTTAGAGGTTAATTTTATAATAATGACTCACGCACCGTGATTTAGTACGTTTCAGGTGCGAAACCAAGTAGAAATTAGAGGACATGATTCCAGTCGAGATCAGTTATAAAACCTCGCATGAGCGCTATTGCATTGGCGTTATGCTTGTGAAGGCGAGGTGCTCTAATACTTTGACTACTAATCAAACGAACTATGTCAAAGGGCGTCTTTATTTTTGTAACTATTCTGATTCTTCTTGGCTGTGGATCAACTTTGAATTACCCCGAGCTCAATCCAGAGCTTCAAATGTACCAGGATTTATCTAAGGTATTTGGTAGTCAACGTGTATAAAATTCGTAATGAAGAACTATTTAATGCAATTTATCTTATATATGACTTGGCTAATATTTATTTGGCACATTAGATTGTTTATTGTCTCGTGAATGTATTAATTTCAGGCAATGCCATTTATCAGGTTGCTATTTCAGAGTTACAGAACTATAGATGAACGAATATGGTTAGGTATAGGTCATCTTAAAAATTCAAGTGCCAAGAATCGGAAAAATAATGGGGTTTGCGTTTGACGTAACGAAGTCATTCTGCTACCACCAACCTAAAAAGAAGAAAATTCTAACATGCCTTAACTATGATATGTCAGAAGAGTTTGGAGATATAAATTCAATTTTCGGGAATGAATACCCGCAGGTATTCCCACTCAGCGAAACCTGGTACATGCTGTACAGGAACTACGAGGACGACCCAGCATTTGGAACTTCTAAATGCATAAGATTCTCCCAGGTGGGACCTGAAGAGGAGGGTGGATATCCTGCACTAGTTGAGTATGGAGACGAGCCACAAACGGCGTAAGTAAAACTTGAGGTGCATAGATCGCTGCAAGCTGTTAAAAATAGTGATGATTCCATGAACATTGACCTATTCGTTACATATGGTATATCGCCGACAAAAAATAGCATGACATCACTCACATAAAGCCTATTTGACCAAAATCTAATTTACCTAGCTAAATAACTTACACATTTCTTTTTTAAATCCAGAATTGCATTCTGAATATTTAAAAAATTGGTGTTTTTTGTGGTGAACGAAGAAAGTCAACGCAAAAAAACAGAACTACAAAAAGTTATGTTGCGAAAGGGTATTCAAACACTCACTTTGTTTTCTTAAATTCAGCAAGAGGAGAAATTTGGATGCTTGTAGCTTTCAATATGCATCCGCAACGTGTAAAAAATACATTGTGGGTAAATACGTCTGGCAATGAGTAACACATCGGGGTGGCTATGTCTCAATTTCTCGTTGAAGCAAGGAAAACTGGAAGATAACACTGCAAGATATCCAGCACTCACTAGATATGGAATCTAGTTACTGTAAAGGATAAAAAAAAAACAAAAAAACTTGTAGCTCCACTTAGCGATAGTTGTCCAATTGTAATACCTTTTGTATGGTTGCGTGCTGAATGATTTTGTTGTCCATAAATCTTAGAGTTAGCTAAGCTTTCACTTCCTAGGTGATTTGAATAACAATCCATTTACTGAACACGCTCATATTCTTTTGATGTTGCTATTTACTTTTTATGAAACAAATTATTTGTATTGCGCCCATGTCATCCTGCTTTTCTAAATAATAATTCTGTCATCTTATCTGATCTCGGTCCCCAGGAACGCGCTATACACGCTTGAATCAACTGAAGGTTATACCGCGAAGAATCAGTTAAACTTTCTCCCCGAGGGCCGTAAGTATACTTCTATTAACTATGAAGGTTACTGTATCCTCAAGTAAAACCAAAATGTGGTACTCTTTGCCTTTAGAGTGAAAACGTAATTTTTCGTTTCAGTAGATATAATTCGCCTTCAGTTCATATGTATAATAATTAATATACAAGACGTAATTGTCTTAAAGTCACGCAGAGCTTTAAGAAAAAGATGGGAGTCAAATGAATGCCGCATTATATGTATGTTCATGAAAAACGTCAGGATGTAGATAAGATAACGTGACTGTACATTAACTAAATATAAATAACGAACGACATTTTATTAAAAGCTATGTAAATCATGTCAGAGCATATTTAAAGAATACGGCGTCTTAGAACATAAAGCCAAAGCAAGGGTGGTTACATAGGGTCATTAAAACGTTTAAAGCCAGGCGTAACTAGAAGTTAAACTACTTCAAGCCATTTTTGAAACCACAACTGGTCTTGATATGATCAATGATCAGCATTTTTCCCCGTTGATTGACTATAAACCTGGTCGCAGAAAGCAGCCGGAAGTTCTGCCCAGCATAATGTGTGGGGGAGTTAGGCCTGGTTCACACTTACAGCTAATCCTCTGCCGCCGAAGCGGAATCCGCCGCGGCAATGCACAGTGGACGCTACGCCCGGCGGCCGAATTCTTGTAGATTCGCCCGCCGATTCGCAAGTGTGAACCAGGCCTTAAGCAGTGGCTTGAGGCACCTCGTCATCATCACAGAATGCACCGGTTATAACGTTATGCCAACCGCACTCAACGCTACGTTCCAATGGAATCAGTCAAGCAGTTCCAAAAGTGTTTCGTAACGGCGCTCGTCGTGTTTGTGCGTTTTCTATCAACAGCTAATCCAATCACGATAAAAAAAAAACAAAAAAACAGCGCAGCATAACGCCGCGTTCTCGGTGCGGAATTGGTTTAGCCGGTTATCGCAAACGACTAGCACAATAACGATACGTATTTGTGACTGATTGATTGGCTTTAACAGACAGTAGCGTTGGCTGCAGTCGGTCTTAATATCGAATTTCAAAATATCGTCCGCAATGGCTTTGCGTACTCAAACAAAAAACATCTCGCCCGCTACTTATGCTCCGATACCAGACATCGCTCCATATTTGGCGAAGGCATGTGACGACGATATTTCTTTGTGTACGTAGATATTTTCCGTGCGTTATTCCAAAACTCCCAAGCTATTAGACAGTTCTAGTATAGCGTTGCTGGCTCTTACGTACGCAATAGTATAGCGTACGCTAAAAATGACCTGCACAGACCGAATTTAGTTGTGTGTTACGTTTCCGAGTGAACATCCCGCATAATCTTTTCTATTCAATTTGTCAGAGCCATAAAATTTCGCGTGCTTATAGCGCCACCATTCTCCTGGCAAGAAATATTAAAATGAAAACGTGCCCAATCATTTTATTTCACGTTAAAGCAAGCCGCCGCGGCCTCGTCAAGCGCGGTTTCCTGCGGGGTACCGAGGCTACGGGTACGAGTGCGTAGCCAAATTCGATCACGGAGCCTCCGTCAGTCGTCTCGTGGAAACGGCACCTTTTATCAATGCTATCGCGGAATGAAATTCATGACCTACTGATGTCCAGTGCAACGCGAGAACTTCGGCGATTTCTTTTAGAGTCGTTCGTCCGTCGGCGATGAACTGTGTGAATAGGCTTAGCGTCGAGCAGATCGCAGCGTCGACGCACATTCGGAGCGGTGAACATTTTCACTGTGCACTCCTTCAGCTGCACGGCGATCTGATTCGACGGCGGTAGGCCCCAGAAAGCATTGCCGAGCTGAACACCACGCAATTTCACGTAACACAGAACTTCAAAAACACCATGTTGCCCCTGCTGCGCCAGTCGAGGTAACCGGCATCTTGAAACTGGCGCCCTCGTTGGGCCCGAGATTTCTCGAGAGCATCCCGCAAAACCCGCTAGCCCGCGACGCAAAATCCCCAGCGTTGCGTGCGTACGCAATACGCTAGTCCTTCTATTGCGTTCTGCACATGCGCACTCACGACCCGCAATTTTCTTGCGTACGCAAAGCTATAGCGTACGGTCCACTAAAACTGTCTATTGTGGAACGAAGTACAGGGTGTCACAAAAGAAAAGTTACCTGGTATTTTTCACCGCAAAAATAAACTAGGCATCGCCGAACGCTCATTCTACGCCCAAAGGTAGAGCTAGAGGTCACAACCAGATGCCAAATTTTCAGCCCAATCCGATAACTTAATCAAAAGATATGTGATTTTCTGAAAATTTCATTGGGAAAATGGAGCCTATTTTTGCCTGTTTTCGGTTTCTGGTGCCATAGAGCCCCATGTATTCGAAAACTCCGTCGGCCGCCATTTTCCCATTGAAATTTTCAGAAAATCACTTATAACTTTTGATTAAGGAATCGGATCGGGCTGAAACTTTGGCACCTGGTTGTGACCTCTAGAGCTACCTTTGGGCGCAGAATGAGCGTTCGGCGATGCCTAGTTCATTTTTGCGGAGAAAAAAACCCTGTAAATTTTCTTTTGTGACACCTTGTATGTTGTAGTCTTATTTGGCTGCGCCTTCAATACAGGAATAAGTTCATGTTAAGTTATCCAAGACAGGTTTGCCACTTATCCTTGTCGGAAACACTACGGACGACCTTTGGCTTTGGTCAAAATGTTTCAGTTGGTCTTGCCTCTTTTAATGATTTTCCTACAAACTCGCACACTGACACAGCTCATAAAATCTTCAAAAGGCTCAAGCCCACGTCGCTAAAATTGGCTTTTTCTGTAAGCCTTTTTTTAAAGTTATCAAAAAGAAGCATAATTTATAGTCAAGCTTTATTGCCCTATAGTTCACGAAGAGTAGTGTTTAAAGAACATTTGTGAGAATTGAATTATAATACTGTAAAACCGTTGTTTGGGAGACCTAATAACTTATTATTACTTCGCCTTGATTAGACATTCCTTTCAATGCAATGAACGGGCAAATGATATTTGATGGTAACGATAGGATGAAGCTTGCTGGTGTTTTTCCCATAATAAAAGGGTGCCGAAGGAGGAGGGAGATGGAGTTACGTTAGTTGGGAGGAAGGGGAGAGGGACAGGGAGAGGGGGAAGGAAGGATGCTGCAGGGAAGGGAAAGGGATGGGGACAGGAAGGGAAAAGCAAGGGAAAAGAAAGACAGAAAAGAAGAGGTGAGGGAGGGGGACGTAAATGTTCATGGGGAGATGAAAAAGGGAGGAGAAAGGGCAAGCGAGGGGTAAGCAGAAGTGTATGCGTTGTCACGTGACGTGAGGTGCATAGTTCACTTGACATCAATTTCCCCGCTAAATAATGTCGCGTGTGGGGCCAAGCAAGCAACGCTCGGTCGCGGGCTTCAAGAAAATTCGTATTTAATTTATTCTTGCTCCGGACGTTACGTACCGTATTTTCCGGGCTATAGTCCGCTGACTATACATCTTTAAACGTTGAAATTGCTGGCTGTGCGGACTATCTACGCGTGCGGACTATACAGGAATTATGTTTTTCAATATCGTTGATTATGACGAGACGGGACAGATTTTGTGAATAAAAGAGTATGTTATTGACCATGTCGTATTACACCTGAGACTGCGGTGGAAGAAATCGGAAGAACTTTCAGTAGGAGGAACAGACACCGAGAACGTCTCAAAGACGTTCTCTGTGTCTGTTCCTCCTACTGAAAGTTCTTCCGATTTCTTTCACCGCAGTCTCAGGTTTAATACGACATGATTAGCTACCACCAGCTCGCCTGCACTCTCACCGTCTTTTCACTAATGTTATTGATAATTTATGTATATTATAGGCTTTTTTGTGAGCTAAGAAAACATACATATGTCAAGTTGAGAAGAATTTCGTGTCGACTAAGCACCAGGTGTGGACTATGCACTGGGTGCGGACTATGCAGCGGGTGCGGACTATCTAAGCAAAAACTTTCATTTTTGACCCCAAATTTGCCTCTGCGGACTATACACCGGGTGCGGACTATAGTTCGGAAAATGCGGTATATCCTTTTGACCTCTTTTCTTCATCTCGAAAACGCCTATTTATTCTCACCCCGGACGCTCGATGCTCGATCATTTTGGGCCGAATTTTCAAGATACCAAGTCACAATAGATAAGGAGCTGCGCGTTACGTTGTAGACTCAGTCGCTCTCGCTCGCTGTTAGGCCGCCAAATCGCCGCCCGCTTTTCTGCTGTCTCGCCGCTCGTTATTTATTATGTATGAAACAAGTGTGGCCGATTAAATCTTTTATTTTCAGTCCATTGTACTTGTTCTCATCGAATTCATTCGTGAAAATATTGCCCTGCGCTTATGTAGTCAAGTCGGCAGCGCGCTGGGTTAAAACACAGGTTTTCTCGGGTTTCATTCTCTTCGTCGCATGTCCTTTTGCCTTTTGTATGTAAGTCGAAAATTCGCGAACGTTGCAGGCCCGTCTGGCTTGTTTATGTACAGAATTTATAGTTCAAGAAGGGTTGAGGCAGAATATTTAGGCTCCCAGGGAAGGCTCAAGAGAAGCCGCGCCACGCCGTTCGGAGTCAGTATCGTTCCAGCACTCGATCCTGGTGATGCGTCGCCATCGACGTCTGCGAAACTAGCCTCCTATTTTTTTTTTTTTTGGGGGGGGGGGGGGGGGGGGGGGAGGGGAGGGGGCTTCACATTTACTAAAATAAATGTTTTGTTTCCTTCAGTCATTTGTCGCCTCATCAATTGTCATTCGTGAACATGTGGAGCAGAATCTGAATTGATGTAGAGGGCATGTGAGTTTAAATGCTGCGCCAGATGTAATGGGCAAGCTAAACTGATGTATAGGCTACGCGAAGTCCATTCGTAAGCTAAATTTAGCAAGGAGACTAAATTTAAGTTTGTTGTTTTGCATACTCGGCCACCATCCAGTGTCTAAAACTTTGAAAAGGCTAAGAGTCACGCTTGGGACATTTGTATTCTTACAAGAAACACAAGAAAAAAACAAAAAAAAAACAGGAATCTGTCAACCATCAGGTGGAGCAACTGAGTTAGAAGTCTGAATAAGACGTTGAACGTTAAAGTTTAATAACGTGGAATTGACCACATATCTCGTTGGATGTCCAAAATTGTATATTGCCGCGCGCGTCACCGAGCGAGGGCACGGCAACACACAATTTGCTCCCCGCATAGACGATATACAATTTGCAGGCACTGTGCATAGTCGGTATACAATCTGCCCTCCGCACAATTTGCCCCCCACATAGGCTAACGCAGCGCGAGACAGCCGCTAGACCGGCTGCGTCACTCTCGATATTTTTTATCAATGGACCTGAAGAGCGGCAGCTGGCAGATCGACGTCGACGAACGGAACCGAGAGGAGGCAGCCTTGATTACGCCGGATGAACTGTGCGAGTTCAAGGTGATGCCCTTCGAACTATGCACGGCACCAGCAGCTTTCCAGCGCGTCATGGACACCGTACTTGCAGAACTGAAATGGCAAAACTGTCTCGTCTACTTTGACGACGCCGTATGTTTTCAAGCGACTTCGACGAGCACATGCCACGCTCCGAGCTGTTCGCCAAGCAATACAAAGACCGCCGAACTCACCCTCAAGTCATCGAAGGGTCGGTTCGCCCATGAGGAGCTGAAGTTTCTAGGCCACGTCGTTAGCAACGATGGCGTTCGCCTATACCAAGAAAAGACCCGCGCCATCGCGGCATTTCCAGCGCCGACAGACAAGAAAAGAAGGCTGTGCGAAGATTCCTTGGATTGTGTGCGTACTATCGAAGCTTCGTTCGCGATTTGGCAAGGATTTTTGCACCGCTAACAAACATTACGAAGGACGCCAAGAAGTTCGAATGGGCCGAGAAGCTGCAGCAGGCATTCGACGAACTGAAGCGACGACTCCAGGCTCCTTCTGCTCTTGGACACTCCGATCAGGAAGCGGAAACCGAGATTCGCACGGACGCAAGTAACGCAGAACTTGGCGCGGGTCTAGTTCAAATAAAAGACGGCACCGAGGGTGTGAAGAATCATGTGTGTCAGGCACGTGAATTAAGAAAGACGAGACCTTTTGAAGTAGAAAACAGCGTTATATTAGAAAACAACATGCCATGATGAAAACACACTGATTAAATTTACACACGAAAAACAACGAATGGTATGACTGTGGGCAAATAGTTACAGGAATGCACGTTCGACAGATTGTTCTCGCAATGTCGGCACACTGTTTCAATGCTGCTCGCTAAAGGCAACCCGAAAGTTCACTGTAACAACTTATCGTTTTCTTGTTTCGTGGCGTTGGGCCTTGCGAGGTGTTGTGCGATGGAGCGGCGACAGAGCACGTACCGGAAAGCCCAGGGTTCAGCTTGAAGCCGGTGGGTCGGAGGTGAGGTTGGCACGGCGACGGCGTCTGGGGTGGCGTGTTAGAACAGACGGGGCCGCTGTGGTCTTGACGTGTGCTCCGCAAAACGTGCACCTGCTTTCAACTGGGGTGAAGGCTTCGCGGAAGCCGGAGATCAGGCCAGGTGGAAGCCTTGAAGAACCCGGGTCTGGACGCCCGGCGGTTATCTTCCACACGCTGGTCTGCCCGCTCGAACACACTCCATTTTCTGTCCTCCGCCTTCCTTCTCTTTTTCTTTCTTGTTGCGGGGCGCGTGGCATGCCCCACGAAGATGACGCGCGAGCACACACAGTTCGTCGCGTGCACGACGCGGCACGAAGATGACCCGGCACGTGCACATACACACCGTCGAAATCCGCGCGCGTTACAGAGGGACACACCGCCTACGCAAGTCGAACAATGTCCAAGGCGGAGATAAATTACTCCACGACTGAAAAAGAATGTCTTGCGGTCGTCTGGGCAATCAGGAAGTTTCGCCCGTAGTTTTAGGGGAGCCCGTTCCGGGTTTACACGCGCCACCACTCGCTCTGCTGGCTTGCGAGCCTCAAGTACCCTTCAGCACGCCTCCCTCGGGGGACTCTCCGACTGCAGGTGTTCAACATGACCGTGGTCTACAGGTGCGGCCGCAAACACAGCGACGACGACTGCCTGTCCGGAGCCCCTGTCGTGGCACATCCCGTAAGTAGCGACGACGATGACGACAAGTGCTTCCTAGGTGCAGGGAACAGCGACTACATGCCAAGACGTCAAAGAGACGGTTCTGAGCTGCACGCCTGCTAATCGAGCACCTCGAAGGACGACTGGGTAGTATCTCCCGTGTCTTCTCGAGAGCCCTGCCGACATTCGCCATTCAACAAGGTGTACTTTACAAGGAGAGCGACAATAACTCGCCATGGCTCCTGGTAAACCTTACCGGCCTTAGAGAGGAGATCTTACAAGCCGGCCATGACGACCCGAGGTCTGGGCATTATGGTTACAGCCGTACTCTGGGCAGAATTCGTGAAATGCATTACTGGCCTAAGCTCCCGAAGACAGTTCACCTCTACACACTATCGTGCCACGTGTGCCAGCGACGCAAGAAACCGCGGACGAAGCAGGCAGGTCTCCTGCAGCCGATTGCTCCCCCGACCACACCGCTCCAGCATATCGGAATGGATCTACTTGGTACTTTTCCTCCGTAGATGTTTGGAAAACGCTGAATAATCGTACCCAGCGATTATCTAACCTGGTTCGCCGAGACAAAAGCCCTTCCGTTGGAAACAGCCGTGGAAGTCGCCAAGTTCATCGTCGAAACGGTTGACCTTCGCCATGGCGATCCCCAAGTAGTCATTACCGATGGGGGGTCGTCGTTCCTGGCGCAGCTGACCCAGGAGATACTTTTTCTGAGCCACACCGAACACGGTCAAAGCACGAAATATCATCCGCAAACCAACGGTTTGGCGAAGCGTTTCAACAAGATCATCGCCGACATTATCGCTATGCATGTTTACGCTGAGCACATGACATGGAACGAGGTCGTTGCCGTACGGCATGTTTGCCTACAACACTGCATTTCAAGAAACCACCGGAATTACGCCATTGCAGCTGGTGCATGGCAGAAAGGTAACAACGAGTCTCGACGCAATGATGATGAAACCAGTGACGCCCAGTTAATAACCCAACGAGCTGAGGAGGATCGGCAGCTAGCCAGACTCCGACATCAGGAACAACAAAGTGTCGACGTTCGCCGGTACAACCTTTGTCGCCACGACGTCCACTTCCAACCCGGAGACACGGCATGGGGGTTGATACCGATTCGCCGCCGCGGTCTTAGCGAGAAGCTGTTAGAACGGTACTTCAGACCCTACAAGGTACTTCGTCGACTAGGTGATTTGAACTACAAGGTGATTCCCTACGGAACACAAACTTTATCACGCCGCCCTCCACGACCGGAAGTCCTCCATGCCGTGCGCCTCAAGCCTTAGTACGATCGATAGGACTGCGAAAGGCGTTTTGTAATAGGCTCAATAGGACTGTGTTTTACAAGCCTCCGTAGTTTGCCATTATCTTGGTTTGTTCTGCTGCTTCATTTGACGGCAAGCTGCATCGCGACGATGCTCTTATTAAAGGGGGGAGTAATGCCTCGTGCGTCACGGAGTGAGCGCGTGCGTGGCCGAGTGGTTACCGTGCTTGGCTTTCGTGCGGAGGCCCCGAGCGAGCGCGTGTACATACTAAGAGCGACTCTATGCAGAATATTCAAGAAACACACGCGTGTACATAAGGGACTCCACATGACGAAGCAGAGTCATTCTCGCTCTTGCGCTCGATTGTGCTGCACCGCCGACCTTCGGCGCCTGGGACCCTACCTCTTCGTATTTTTGTTTTGGGCACATGTTTTCCGTCATTTAACGTTTAGTTTCCTACTTCACTAACCGTCCTTCTGCCTGTCATTCGTGAACATATTCTGTGTATCCAAAAAGGTTAATAGAATTGAATAAAACATTTATATGGCATGTGATTCAACTAGAACATGATGAAGATTATTGTACATCCCATTTTGTATGTGGGGCATTAAGACATCCAAGACTAATGTTACCATAGGCATCAAGATCGAGTTTATCACAAAACAGGCTTATTTGGTCAAGAACTGATGAAACCAAAGTTTGATTGGAAACTAATTACGCCGATGAGCAAGCTGAAGTTTTCACTGTATATTTCTGCCCAGACAGAATCATTCATAAATTCAAGGTCAAATCAGTGGACAGCCACCGTATCTCTTTTAAGAACAATGAGTGCACTCCCTTCAAAGTTGATAGACATGCTTTCACCAATCTGTCTTCGTTGGAAAAGTCGTCAGATGATGCAAAAGGGCAGTTAAATTATGTTTCGATTAACAATATTTTGTCATGATCAGTAATAGCAACATTGTTGAAACGCGGTTTTGGACATGTACGTAGTTCGCAAAAATTTTCATAAAAAGAATATGGTACAAAAAATATAAGGTCCCCGTTGATCCTGGAGTATATTTATCAACTTTTAAGAGTCCCTAAAATTGCCTGAAGAGACCCACGGGCAACAAGTCATCAATATTAATATTGATCTGAATGTATTACAGTACACAGTGTTCTCCACACTTCTACATTTCAGAAGATGATTCACTGCCCCTATACCTGTCTTATATGGATTTTGGGAAGTGCGCTGTCTACAGGAGCATCTACGTTAACGGTATGACTACCTTTTGAACATATATATTTGGACTGGGGATATTCGAAAAATGTGGTTCTAGCTTTAAATGACGAGTTGAACAACTAATAAGAGAAAGCGAACAGACCAGCTGGAAGGGTATATTGTGGTAAATAGTTCGATACCACGACTGACAAAAAACGTATTGATATTTATATTTCTACATTTAGAGGCCGGCAATATTTATATAGAATTCTTTTTTGTTTGCATGAGAAACGTTACCATCATAAATCAGGTTTTTGTTTTTGAAGGATATGCCATACCATTGCCTCGTTTCCAATAGTGCGTGTCTAGTCAACGCTTCCGTAAACATTATGACAACTTATTTTATCTACGACTTTTTTAAACATAGCTTTTATTTTCAACCATAGCAGTTTTGCTTTTAGTCGTAATTTGTATACTAGGTTAAATCTTGTGAAGAAACTATAGTCACCCAGGTAGCACGCCAGATAAATCCCCAGGCCTTCTAGTGAAACGCCAGCACGTGGATCTGAGGTTGACCAGAAGCTCCCTGTCCACGTTATTCTGCCAGCTCCTCCCCCTAGAATTTGCAAAACTGTGACAAACCTAAGGGCTTTCAAACCCTTATTGGGTTTTCCTCCAAAGGCGCGTGCCAGTGCCAAAGTACTCTGCCTAAGTATAGGCAGAGTACTTTGCGCGATTCTTGGGTATGCCAAAGCTTGACGTTTCTCTGATTCACCACAGGAGTCCCAAAGTCGGTGCTCTACTTAAGCCATAAATGCGAAAGCGAAGTCTAACTTAGTAACACTTCTGGGGCACGAAAAAAGTTTGGCTTTCCTCTGGTCACCCACTGGAGCGCCAGATATGTGCCAAAAATGCCAAATAAATCTCCAAAGCGGGCCGAAGTTTGGCTTTTTTCTGGTTTTCCATGAGAGTGCTATGCCATGCACTCCAGGACACGAACAAAGAAAGCATTCGAAGCACGATTGTCAGATGTCGTCAACACGGTTGATATCGGCAAACGTCCCCTCGCCCCTTCCAGGCTTCTACACACACACACAATAAAAATGCAAACATAAAAAAGACAAAGAAAACTATGACGTCGCCAAGACTTGGTTTCGGGACCACAAAGCCAGAACCCCGTGTTTTATTGTTCACGTTTTTTTTATCGCTAGTCTTGAACACTGTATCAATAACAATGCAAAACAGTCACAGAGCTACACTCGCATCTGTGACGCCTCGGCTAATACTGGGATGTGTTGAAGGGACCTGCGCACGTCAGTCCCGCGCAGCGCTCGCTCGATGGCAGCAGTTGCGTAAACGTGGAACCAATATCACGTCGCGTCGGTTAAAAGATGTGTAGCTCTCCAACCGGACATTGGCATGTGTACCAAGGCGCGAGCAAAAAACCCGAAGCACTCGGCGTTTGCAAAATCAGCATTGTCTTGTCACACCGCGGCAATACATTGCGCCCACCTCAGGGGTAGGGTATTCAAGAAACATTAAAATTAAAAGGGGAGTTGATGGCAGAATAAAACTAAATTGGTATTTAATCAAGTTGCAACCACCTTGGTCCTACCAATAACTCATCTATTTTTTATCGCCAAAGATAAATGAGCCAGTGCCAACTGGACTCGATTGATTGCCTTACTCTGGCATTGCAGATATATCAGTTCGAAAGTATATAGGCATTTACCCGCTTTCTCTTAGTTCTGTCCGAGCAAGGAGAAAAAATTGTACTTCTATCAACTTTGGGACCGAAGATAACCTACAATATTCACAAATGTGAAGTTGAAGGGAGCCGTATCTAGCTCACAGTGGCTCAATGGGCCAACAGGATGTAGTTGAGATTTGGGTGTCGAACGGAGACACCTTACGCGCGCGTTATTTTCTTAGCACTTTGTTTCGACCAAGCGCGTGTCTAAGTGGCAGCACATATTTGGCGATAGGGGGGATGCGAGATGCTAACCGGACTACCAGAAAATAAAACCAAACTCCGACATTTGCTTGGCAATTTGGGACCAAAAGCTTTAGACTTCCACCAAACTTCAAGACATGAAGCCTAACTCTGGCATCTGTTAGGCGTTTTAGTCCCAGATAAGCGAGATGACAGACGAACTGGCAGGAAAAGAAGCCTCACTTAGGAGCTTGTTATGGAATCTAGGTTCAAAACATGCAGATGACAGTCGTACTATCAGGCATTAAGCCTAACTCTAGCGTTTTTGTGGCGATTTGTGCCCAAAGATGCCATGTAATGTAAACTATCAGGAAGTGAAACCTAACTATGGCACTTGTTGGTCGAATTTCGGCAAACATAAGTAGACGTCTGTCAAAGAAGGTCGGATTTGGATTTACGTATTTTGAATTCTTCAGGTCCCTTGAATTCTTCGAAGCCCTAAACTCCCAGAAAAGAAGCAATTTTTTTTCCAGAGCTCTGTGCTAGCTGGGCAGGCGCTTGTGCGCCTTAAAAGATAAACGGGTAGCAGACAATGCTGACGTCAAAAAAGCTCTTTAAGAACGGTGGCTATATAATGCTTACTTGTTACTACCTGGACTACTTAGGAATGGAACTGGACTATAAAGGCAACATGAGAGAAGGCCAAGATATGTCGTAGATGAGAAAGTATGCGAACATAAAACGCACAGATATTAAGCACATTCTAAGATCGTTGGTTCAGCGATAAGAAAGTTGGGAACGATCACTCGGTTATCAAGTTATTTCACTTCAACATTATTTGTAGTGCGTTTGTTCTGTAGCCTTGTACGCTCAGGACTTGTATTTGGTTAATTAGTGGTAATTCACTATCCTTAACACTAATTAGAATGACTGAAAGTGTGCAGAAGAAATTTATTCAAATTATTTATGACCGATACATTGGTCGGAAACTGTTTATCCAGTTTCCGACCAATGCAGTCGATTGTGACGTAGGTATTTTTCTTGATTTTGTTAGACTTAAGTTGACCTTGGAAACGTATACTTTGTCCAACCAAGAATTAGTGTAAGGTTGTATTTGCTTTACAAGCTTGTATTTGTGTCCTTAGGAATGTCTCTGTAATTTAGCGCATGTTTGTATATAAAATTGTGTTGCTGTGAACACCAACTTACAGTGCACCGCAAAAAAGGCGTTACAGCTTGAGACGTAGGAAAATAAAAAAAAAAACGGACAGTACAACGAAGTCTCGAAGTACAACGAAGATACTTCGTTGTACTGTCCGTTTTTTATTTTTATTTTTCCTACGTCTCAGTGTTACTATGGATATCATTCACCAGCTCGCCTGTGTTTTTTACCTTTCTGCGTTACAGCTGTTTGTGGGCGGTAAAGAAAAGAAAACATTATTTTTATTAATATTAATATAGACATTGACTAACGCAAATCTCAAAACGATGCAGAAGATGCCTGCTGCGTCGTCGGTCCGAAAAGTCAACTTGGGCAAAGTTCAACCTGCGATTTCGTTCACGACCTTCTGTGTGGTACCAAGAAATATTATATTTCTGACGACAGTTGTCAAAATGGAGATTGAACAAAATATTTGGACATGTAAAACAACTTACGAGTTTTCTGAAAGTCAAATTTACTGAAGGTTTTGATGTCCTTTCGATGATCTTGTGTTATATATTTTTCTCCTTTGTGTTTCTTTTTTGCTAAGTGTTTTCACCAGGTGTTCGTCTTATTTTGCTCTAGCTCCTATACGTTTTCTGTCTGAAGTAAAGAATTGAATCAAAGTATCAATTCATCATGGACTGAAATTTCGCCGTAATCTCGATGATATATTACTTGCGTAGCTGTACATTTGCATTTCAGTTTGTTTTGTAGAGTTGTGTTCTGTTTTGTTTTGTATTCCACAGAAAAGTCCTAGCGTTAGTGTTCAAGCACGTCAAAATAAATCTAACAGTTGTTTTTTGCTAGGAGACACTAAATACACTGAGTGGCGTTGTGGAGAATGCTATGAATGCAATTAAATAAAGTATCCCTAAAGAATCAGTTTACTCTTGTGAATGAACTTTTTGACTGTGTAGTCTTGAGCCCAATAACGCGATTCTAAGACGTAATATGTCAAGGGTAACCGAAGGTTACATTTCCTTCAGTCGCTCAGAACATTAATCTTCTTTAAACGTGAGGGTCGTAGGAATCAATTTATAAATTACGCATATCTAAGCGGTAATAATCTGTTTGATACTGCTTCACGGACATTCTGTGCTACCCTTGCATTAAAAAAAAACACATCTCGGCCAGGGTTCCCTAAACTTACGACTCCATGGTAAGGCAACTAAACAAAAATTACCACTTTAGATAGGGCAGCGCTATACAGGAGTCATTGGCGTCCTGAAGCTGTAAGGAAACAGTTAAGGCTATATATCGTGTTTATAAATGCAGTCCTTCGACGATGGAGGCTAAGAATTTGTTATTCCTGTGCACAATCTGTGGCAAAAGCCATACCCTTTCCCTTTGTTTACTATATTTTCTTAACACCGAACATATACGATCACCGAATCAACCATGGAGTGATTCGTTTAGCCGGAACAGTACCTTGTCCCTATTATTTCCGGACGTCGCAAGGAACAGGTAACATATGTTGCGAGATCTCAACTCGTAGCTAACAAAATAAGGTTGCGAATGATCTCAACTCGACATAAGGATGTTTGAACATTAATTCACAATACCAAATTCACAACACGATCTGGAAATCGTGCAGTTGGCATTCGCACAAAATTTGCGCAACATTTGTTGTGATTCGGAAGGATACCACAGCTCTAATTACGCGATCTAAGAAACCGAAAACCATAATATTAACGTTTAACTCAACCGCGCATCCTTCGTCTGAGCTGTAAAATTGCGAGATTTTAATCGGTCGAATACATTTCGAAGATGTCTTCGATATTCTTCGGGTCTGACTGTGACAAATCGAAGATTAAAGCAAATGTTTGTACATGTAACGATGTTTATAATTTGTATAAAGTTTAGAGCTGCTCAAGGAATCTCGTGTGCTTTTGATGTTTGAGAGTATTATATCTTTCTCCTTTATTTTTGTTTTTGCTAAGTGTTATTGGGTGCTAGAGCACAATCAGAATAAAACTTTCGTCTCATTTCGTCCTAGGTTTCCAAACTCTTTCTATCTAAACCGAAGGAATACACTCAAAGATACGCATCCTCGATATCTCACTTGCGAAGTTTTATATTTGCAATTTTGTTTCTTTTTTAAAGTTGTTATATGTCTTTTTGTATTCCACACAAAGGCCAAGTATTGATGTTTAAAGGAGCTGTACAACGATTTTAACGTTGGGAGAATTGGCATCTTCTACTTTTGACATTGTTTATCTTGACACAAAAGACAGAACCACCCCCCCGCCCCCCTTCCTTCGAAATGTTGCGATTTCGCCGCGCAATCGCGAGTCAAAAATTAAAATATTCCCCGACCTGCAGAACCACGCGCCATCACGTCAATGGGGGCGTTGTAGAAAGATAGCAAGTTGTGCGAATACCTGCTCGATAAAAGGTAACTTTTCTATAAATCTTGTCGTTCCAATATAAATATAAATGCGTCAAAAACCTGGTATCATCGACAAAACTGGGGATGTAGCCAAGTCGGAAGGAGATAAGGCTCCATCCACTCACTACGTCACTTCCGGCGCACTACGCCACGTCCTGCGTGGACGGAGGCAGTTCTTCTCCCGTCTTCTCTCCGTCCACGCAGGAATCAACCTACGGTCTTGCCTCCCATTGTTTTGCCTTATGCTCGGCGGCCATTGCTCCTTGCGTTCCTGCCGCGCGCGGACTGCTGTTCCTGCCTGATCTTCCTCAAGCGGGTTTGGCTTTGTCTGAAGCGTTTTTTTTTCTTGTTTTCTTGGTCAAAGAGTTTTGCCCTTTGTGTATTAGCACGATCGCGCGCCTGGTACACTTGCCAGACGCAATGGCCGCACGTACAGGTTGCCGTTTGTCTCGCAGCATTTTTGCCCTTTTCTTGCTGCTGTCACTCGCCACCTACCGTGCCTCCACCTGCATCTCTCCCCTGAACAGCGTGGGCCTTTGCGGTCCCGGTTTGTGTGCCGCGACCGCGTCCGACGCGTCCTATACAGGATATGCTTGAACGGGCCCGGCGCTGCCGTTAGGCTTAGAAGACTTTCGACCACGCGATGGAGACACTCTGCGGCCTGCTTGTTGCTCTTTCTGCGTCAGTACCGAGTGGCTGGTCGACTCGACGGTTCTTCTCTCCAGCGACGTCGCTTCAAACCCAAGGCCTCAGCACCGCACCTGCACCCGTTGTACCAAACGTGTTCTGGATTGCCAGGCCGCTCTGTGCTGTAATGCATGTGACCGGTGGTCCCACCGTGGATGTGTGTATGTCTCTCTACCGGAATATAGGAAGTTGAGCTCCAGCAACGATTTGTGGTATTGTCTGGGTTGCTCCCTGCCCGCTTTCGCGGACGACTTGTTTGACCTTCCGTGGCCTTTTAGATACAGCCTTCCACAGTGCCCACGCCTGCTGCAACCGAGAGATCGTCCGGCGGAGGGAGGAAGGTGACAACGTTCTGGTTGGGGGTTTTACGTACCAAACCTACGACGGGCATCTGGCACGCCCCAGCGGAGGACTGAGGATTAATTTTGACCACCTGGGGATCTCTTGACGTGCAACCCAAAGCTCGGTTACACGGCGCCTTCTCCGCAATAAGCCTCCGTCATATTGCGGCACCTCGGTCGGGATTCGAGCCCGCCACCTGGGGATCCGTAGGCCGGCGCTCTCGTCTCGGAGCCACCGAGGCGGCTGCCGAAGCATTCGAAACAAGGTGGTAGACCTTCAGGCACACGTGTCGTCATTGCCCCCCGGTTCTGTTGTGTTGCTCACGGAGACTTGGCTCGACGCGGGTGTAGCAGACAGCGAACCTTTCGACACGAATGCCTACACCGTGTTCCGGAAAGACAGGCGGGGGCAGGGGGGGGTGTCCTATTGGCTTTCCCGGCGTCGGCGCGCGTTTTTCGGCGCACAGACCTTGGGCACCAAGATTTCGAAGCACTCTTCGTGGACCTCTACCTGCCTCACAGCACAACCCTGGTGGGCTGTGTCTACTGCCCACCGTCGATATGGGGGGAGTCATAAGGGCTCCTGGAGGTATCGTTACGGGCCGCTTTTCTCAGGAACTATGAGAACGTACTGGTATTCGGCGACTTCAACTCGCACACTGACTGGTTCATCCACGAGGATCCTGTCCCCCGTGATCTTTCGGATGACTTCTTACTCGACATTGCGTCATCAGCTGGCCTCACGCAGGCGTGCACTGGATCGACGTACTCAACTCGCGACGGAAATTCCAGCTTTCTAGACCTTCTCTTTGTAGCAGACCCGACTCGAATAGTTTCCCGTGAGACTTCTGAGGGACTGCCCGGTAGCGATGCAGGGGCACCATGCACGCACACTATGAAAGTTCGGTCAGACCAACCACGGCCACCTAGCACGCCTGGCACACCTCGCACCTTGGTGCATGACGACGACTGGCGATGACCCCCTCGGTAATTTCGACTTCTGGTGCGACCCGGCGGGAGCAATTCAGAAGGAGTGCGTGCCCTTCCGCACCCGCTCTTTGGGATGAAAATATTGCCCATGAATCACCCCCAGTATAATGAAGGCAGCGAGAATAAATAGGGGACTCTTCAGGAAGGCCTCCCGCTCTAACTGCCCCGTGGCTTTACGCGCTGCAAATGACCACCAACGCGCTCTAAAGGTTACCATACATGTCGCGCACCAGCGCTATACCTCCACGATAGCACAAAAAAGCAAAGAAAGACCCTAAGGTCTTCTGGTCGTACGTAAGTCGCCTCAGAAGGCCTTGCCAACGTCCCAGCTTCAGGGCGAATGGCAGAATGATCGATGCCCCCGGAGAGATTGCGGCACTCTTCGCAGACCACTTCTCGTCTGTCTACAACACCGACGGACAGCGCTTGTCTGCGAATTCCACTGCTTTCGCACCATCATCATCTGGCACCGAGGCATCGAGCCTGGAAGAGATCACCTTCTCAGCGGAAGCACTGAGCATTGCGGTGTTCAAGATCAAGCATTCGCAGTGTCCTGGCCCAGACGGTGTGGCACCTGCCTTCTTCAAGATGATCACGCAGCACACTTTGCCCTCGCTTGCCTATGCGCTTCAGGGTCTTTTCGACGTGGGAGCTGTTCCTGTTTCCTGGCGACACGCCTTGGTTACCCTTATGCACAATGAGGAAGAAAAGCCCACAGACGACGTAACGCATTATCGGCCGGATTCAATAACATCGATTATCTGCTGCACATTCGAACGCGTAGTGAACAGCCAGCTTATCGATTTCGTTGAGGCCACTGACTACTTATCGCAGTCACAGCATAGTTTCAGACACAACCGTAGCTGTGAGACGACCCTGGCGACCCTGAGCCATTTCGTAAGCAACTGCATCGACAACCGCACAGACAGATCTCGTTCAGCTTGATCTCAGCAATGCGTTCGACATTCTCGACATCGGTGTCCTGCTACTTAAAGTGTCAGGCGCCGGCATCCG